GCGCGGCAGATGGTGAAGGAGCGTGTTGGGATGGGCTGGGGAAGAGAGGGACCTTCCAGGGATTTGTTCCAGGGGTTCTTAGGTGGTGCGAAATGGATTTTCTCCATCCCCTATGAGAAACTGTATGGGTGGTCATCTAGCAGTGGCTGAGAGTAATATATAGTAGGCAGCTAGGTGCCCTTTTGAACCCTTTTTTGGTTGGGAGGGCTCCCCTAGTAAAATAGACTACGGAAAAAGAAGTTAGTGCCCTTATTCTAACCTCTCTACTGGAGGACCTAGGAGAGGAAAGAAAGCAATCGCATGGTTGCGGCGGGGCTCGGGCATGGGCCCATTGCCACGGACGTGCGCGGGCTTTTCGTAACGCCAGTTTTGCGTGACAGGCGCAGCACTTTTGCAGACTCAGGCGCAGCAAGCTGGCGCACGCAGATTTCGTGGCGGGCGCATCACCTTTGCAAGGTCAAGTGCAAAGTTCGTGGCAGGCTCAGAGAAGATATGGTCCGGGATCCTCACCTCCCAAGAATGTATGATTCCGGTGTATGATTCCGGGGTGTGCCGTCTTGTCCGCCCCCCTAAGAGCCTCTCAGTTCATACAAAGCCAAGAGCGCCCAATAAGGCTTGGCTCACGCCATTTGTTTTTCGAATCCCTGACACTGTGGGGTGATTATTGACATTTTTCCCTTCTGGCTATCAACCGCTGCTTCACGCTGGGGTGGAACGGTTTTGGTCACATCGAGCCTAGAGTCGTAGATGCGGATGCGCGTCGGTATCTTTCTTTGGCTCTTTGCTTTTGGCACGGCATGTTGTTGCGTTCCATTGGCAGGATCTTCTGATGGAGATGAGACAAAGAGTTACGCCTCTCGCCATCAACAGGGATGGGGTGGGGACTTTTGCGGGGAAGGCTGGGAAATTGCAGGACTGACCCAAAACCCACATGTTCAAGCTTGTTGGAACTTGTCCTTTTCAGTGACTGGAAGCAAAATAACAGTTGAAACTTCAGCCTGGTGGAAGAAGAGTTCTGAACGCTCCTGAGGGCAGGGTGGGGGGGCGATGCTTCTTGACCAGAACCCCACGAGTTGAGGCACGGTTCCCCGAGTCAAAAGGCACTTGTACCCCTGTGCCCCCACTGAGAAAGGAACTCTACCGTAGAACACCGTAGAGTAGCTTCCTAGATTTCGCGTTTCCGCGCGGGGAAGAGGGGGTGGCTAAACGAACCAAAATCAAAACCCGGGTCGAAGGAGACAACCAGAGATAGGCGCAGTCGCCCTTATGATTCATCGACTCATCCATAATATCAGGATCCAATGGCTCTTTTGACCTTTTGCGAAATCTGTTGATTTCGAGTATCCGAGGTACGTTCAAATGTTCAACACATGGATATGTCCTGAAATCGGAGACCCCGTAAGATACAAACCGTTTCCTCTCGTTTATCCATGTGGAACCAGTAGAAAGGACTTCCGACGCAGAAACCCACCAAACGTCTGAGTAGCTACTTGGAACTTCTCATACAGACATATTTGCTCCGGACCCCAACAACATGACGAAACCGCAAGCAACGACAGGTTGGCACTCTTTGAACCTGCGATTCTATTTACCTGTGGTTAGCCAAGGAAACAAAAACCGTCCTCCAGATTTTGGGACCCCAATCAAAACCCGACGGCTCCCTCCGAACCCTTCTCACCAAGGGTCTTTCCTCATGGGATCTGTAACCACGGATGAATAAACCCTTGAGCTGTTTATGGGATATCCCATTTTGTTTTTGTGGGGGATTCATCACACTAGGGGAACACCCCCAGAGGAACACCACCCTTCTTCGCAAGTGTTTTTGCTGTTCTTTTTCAGAAGCAAGCATTCATCACACCAGGCAAACACCCCCTTTTTTCAACATTCTATATATACATATTATATATATAACACATATTATATTATAATATTATATATATATATATGTATGATTATATATATCCAGGGTCAGCAGGTTCACCCGGCGCAGCTTCGGGGCGGCGGTGTCGGCCTTCGGCAAGTGCGGGGCCTGGCAGGAGGCCTCCGATTTTGGCCATCCCGCCCTTTGACAGATTGCCGGTTCTTATTTTTCCTTTTTTGCTTTTTTTTTTTTGTGTGTGTGTGTGTTTCTTCTTTCTTTTTTCTTTTTTTTTGGGGGGGGGGGGTGTTTGCAAATATATATAAATATATATTTAGACGGGGGTCAAACCACGTTTTTTCGAGTTACGTTGATTATGGTTTTGCCCCTGAAAGGGAGTGGCCTGTTGTTTAAGTTCATGTCGTTTTTTCTTTTTCTCCGGGGTTCTTGCGGGTCGTGTTTTTTTTTTGGAGGGGGGTTGTTTATATATATATATATATATGTGTTTGTTTACAGGGGGTTCAAACCACGTTTTTTTTCCTCCCGAGGCGAGTTACGTTGATGATGTTGTGTTTTTTTTCTCCGATTTTGTTTGTTCTTTCCGGGGGCCCGTGAGCCATGGTCAAGCCACATTTTTCCACCCGAGGCGTGTTTTTCGTTGTGTTTCTTCTTTTTTGTTCCGGGGCCCCATGTGTTTGACGCGGGAATGGTCATGCATCCGGTAGGCGAAATTTGGGCCCGCCAGAAGAATTCTTTTTAAAAGGAACCTCCTTGAGATTTCTTCAAAGGCGGAGCTGCGACCTACCTGTGAAATGGGCAAACGCTTTACTTGTTGGTGGGTTGGTGTTTTCAGTGCCAACGGCAATTGTCTGGACTCTGAACTTTTGGTAGGCTGCGCCAGTTGAGTAAAGACCAACAATTTTCGGCAATTTGCTGGATCGTCCCAGAAACGGAAGCTTTTTGTCTTTGGTGTCCAGGGCCTGGTAAAATCAAGAACGGCAAATGGTACAAGCGCAAAGTGGACAGAACGCGTGTTGCGCCCATGTTTTCAGGAGAACATAAGTTTGCAAACCCTACTAGTATCCCCTTGCTGGAGGGATGGGGCGCATTCCTCCCTGTGCTTGAAGACCTATGGGCGATGTTTTAACATTTGGAGCGACGTGCTTCAAGGTCCTATGCTCCCTTCGTGAGGAGGGCAAGGGACAACTTGCTGGTTCTCAGCAGGAACTCACTTCCTGAGTTGGTGGACTTTAAGCTTTTTGGAAAGACCATTTTAGTGGTAAATAAAAAGTTCAAACTTTTTTTGGCCAGTCAACTTGGGAAGTGAGGGAATGAGTCGGAATGACCCCATAGTTGCCATTTTCTGGTGGTTTCCTTTCAGGCCCCCAGCTTCATTCCCTCCTTCCCTACTCATCGACGGCGGGAGTCCGGGAGTGCCGACAGCTTCAGCTTAGGGTGTGTCACCCCTTTGTCCGGTGGTCAACCGAGAAGCCAAACAAACACCTCAAAAACCTGTCTAGTTCCTTTGTTGGAAAAGAGCGCACTCTATTTTCCCATGAGGCACAGAAGGTTGCAAACGGCTCCAATTCCAGCCTCTTGTTTCTTTTTTGTTGGTCATGTGCCTACTGGATGAACCGGGCCATTTGGTAAAGCCGGCAGGGTACACTCTGAGTCGATTTTCCACCCCAGCTATCCATAACTCATTTTGGAGGCTCCCAGCCATCCGGTTCCTTAGCTTCTTAGATCCTTTTAGCCTTTTAGTGTTTAGTGGTGGTTTCCGAATTTAACCCACTAAATGTTGGTCACTTGTAGCGGGGGGATCCGAAAACGGGCAGCCCAGTCATGTGGCCATGCCAACATCGTCCACAGCTTTCGCGGAGGCGCTGGGCTTACTCTCGGAGATGCGGCGGCCTCGGTTCCCCCGGTGCCCGAACTCGCGAGTTGGTGCCTTGGTGGCGAAGCCAGCCATCCGGCTTCCTTGTTTTTTTAGATCTTTTCAGGGTTTAGTGCCGGGGAGGGGGGTCCATTTAACCCACTACTTCTCAACTTTTGGGGGATCTAAAAACGAACAGCCCAGGTTGGAGAGACCCAATGAGACTGGTGTCTTTCTTGTTTTGGCAAGGATCAATCAGTTTGGTGTGAAATGATGTGCCAACTTGAATGCTTCATCTGGCTGAGGCGGGCACGTTTACGGGCCGGGCGGGTTTTTTCCATCCGAGACAAGCCAGGCCCATGTGGTTTGCTTGAGGCGCGGTGTCCACCGAGGTTTGGCCAAGCCTCCAGTGGATGCAAGTGACTTGTGGCGACGTTTTAGGTGAAGCGAACTGTAAAACATGCTGTCGTTGCGAAGTCCGTTCGCACCACCTGGAAGCCATGGTTGAAACCAGTTTTGCTTGGTATTTGCAGGTATTTGCAGTTTTGCTTGGATTTGCTTGAGCAGGTTTTGGAGCCAAAGTAAAATGTGCAGATTCCAGATTCTACTGCTCAATTCCTTTACCTCAGGTGCTCGAGCCAAAGAATGTGCAGGTTCTAGCTTCCGATGTTTTTGCTTTCGGGGTTTTGGAGGTACCGTAGCGTCTGCTGGCTTCAGGAAGTCATTGGAGGGTTTCACGGCCACAGATCGGTTGGTTGGGGGAAACGGCCCGGTGGGTGGGCATGAAACCAGGCGGCGCTTTTGGTTTTTCCGGCGACTCAGGGGGCCCAAAAGGGGGGAGCCTTTGAATGCAAAAAGGAACGGAGTTGGGGAAATGATGCGCAATTCAACAAGCCTTGAGCGAACGAAATCGCCCCAATGCTCCTGTAAAAGAGCCTTTGACCGTAGGAATGGAGTTGGGTAAGTGATGGGCAAATCAAATCAACAAGCCTCGAGTAAGGCGAAATCGTCCAGATGGGGCTGGAGTGGTCAAAGTGCAAATCCAGACTTTGCAAGACCGAATCCGCTGGTCCGCTGACCCGCGAGCTAAAGCAGATCCCGAAATTTCATAGCTAAACTTGCTGCACCTCATACCCTACCCATGAAAACGCGCACCAAAAGGCTCAGGTCGTTTAAACCAGGGGTGTTTCTACCCCGATTTGTTTGAGCCAAGGGCTCCAATCGCCCTATCAGCCTCGGCCGCGAAGCGCGACCATCGGCCATCGATGAATGGAGCTGGGGCGCCAGCACTTGCGGGGCTTCAGCCTGGGCGCCAGCTTGGTGGCCGCCGCCCTCTTCCTGCTGCGCGCCCCGACGGGGCGGTACGGGGCGGGTGGGGCGGTCGGGCGGGCTCCAGCCCCGTTTTTTTTTGGTTGGGGCCGGAAGAGGGCTGGGGTAGGGGGTCGATTCCTTTTCCATTCTTATTTTCAACCATCGTTCTTTTCAACAACCAGCGGTTTTCCCAGGGTGTTTGGTGGTTTTCTTCTAGAAGGATCCCTGGGTTCAGAATAGGGAAGCTACCCTTTGAGCTTTGGGCTCGTTGAGCCTCGTTCGCAGTCTTGGTGCCGAGTGCTGACCCCCAGAATCGGATCCGGACCCGGATCACATAAGTTTGGAGCCTCCAGGATGGTTTCCTTGGGAGTTCACGACCAAAAGAACACACAGGATATGGGATTCAAAAGGGTTCGAATGTATTGTGACTTCAGTTTGGGAAAAGTTCCCATCTTTTGTTTGGCGAGTTTCTGTTCCGAAGTATTCAGCGAAAACGGGGTGTCAGCAATTTGACTCACAGAGCAAACTGCCTTTTGGGATGGTCTTCAAAAAGCCCTTTTAAGGACTGAACAGGTTTGCTGCCTGGACGCTGGACGCTGGGGTTGCGAAGCCCGGGTTGCTCAAAGAGATTCCTCGAATGGATCGGCCCTCTGTGATGAGAGTACCCTTTACCATGGAACCCACCAGAAGGTCCCAGGAAAATGGTGTCGCTGGAGGGTGGGCACTGGGAGACATCGACAGACCCCCAGGCTAGACGTGGAACCCTTGTGTCAAACCACAAAACCAGGAGGGGGTACCAACTAAAGCCAAGATCGAGCCGCCCATGTAGCGGGCCAGAGAAGCCATTCAATGGGACACCCCCTCCGGTTTGTGAATCCTAGGTTCCCACGTTTGAGGAGAAGAGCGGTTGCTTCATGGGGCGTTCCCTCCCTCGGCATTACTAGGTTTGCGCCCCACAGCCGGGTTTGCCCCCAAGAGCGTCACTTGTAACTAAGAACGTCCCAGCACAACACAGGGGTCCCTATATTTCCCTGGTTGGGTTGTTTGAAACATCACCTGTTTGGCCCATGAAAGGTGAGTATCCCTTGGTGGGGACACACGTTACCCCGTGCATCCCAAGCCAATTCTTTACAAACCATGGTGACCTTTGGTGAGCCGTGTCGTTGGAAGAGAGGAGAGGGCTGAGCTTAAAGGGGGTCACTGAACTTGGTGGGGTTTTGAGCTGAATTTAAGCCCCTATGACTTCAAGAACTTCAAAAGCGAAGCATTTAGGTGTGTCTGGGGTCATGAGATTTCGCACTGGTGAATCTGAATGACGCTGGGCTCATGCAATGTAGGGCAACATCTGACGAAGTTTGCCGTGCCTCGTTGCCACCGTAGTTCACGGTGGTTTACACGCTCGGCTACTCGCTATTTGCTGGGTGGGAGATAACCGCTAATTGTTGCACGCGAATTAGCACTTACCAGGTGGTAAGTAGCCCTTACATGCCACGTGCTATTTGATGTATGCCTAATAACCCATCTATGTCTCCTACTCGAATTCGGAATATAATACTAGCTGAGGAAAACAAAATAGAGGATTGTTACCTGCCAAACAATTGCCCTGTGGGAACCGCAAATTAAATGGACGCACAATTGTTCGATTTGTTCACAACCCTACCCCTGCTTGCCACACAGCTTGGACTGTTGTTGCATGTTGGCCCCCTCCAACTGCTCTCCTTTGAACATTGTTCAAGACGAGTTCCAACCAACTTTTGGACATCACCTGTTGATTTGACAAACACTAGACTCTTTGTTGGTAGGCATTTAGACCTGACTGAGTTGCTCAAGCTTGTTCAACCTTGGGTCGATAGTTGACAGCTGCTTTCCCTCATTTCAGTAGGGACCATCAACTGAGTTGATAGCTGTTTCCCTCGTAGGCCGTTTTCTGCTGCTGGGCGTCGTTTCTGGTTTCCGAATCCCTCCCAAGCGTGGCATCACTTCTCGCCCCTCACCCCAGGCGAGCCGAGCCTGCGCCAGGCCTTTCCAGGCGGGAGCCTTCCCTTCCTGAAAAGCGCCTGCCTCTGATTGGGCTTGGTAGGACTAGGTCCCCCAGCTAGGTGCCCTTTTACTGTTTCTTTTTTGGTTGGGAGGGTTCTCCTGCTGAAATAGACCACGGAAAAAGTTGGCACCCTTCTTCTTTCCGCTCTACTGGAGGACCTGGTAGGGTTTGGGATGGTCATCCGCTTCAATCGGACCCTTCTACGAAGCTTTTCTCAGAACCTTTCCGGGAAGGGGGTGTGGGGTGCTTTGTGTTGTCCTCAACCTTGCTTGCAACGGCGATTATCTGTTTGCTCCTGCGGGTGAACACCCGGCAGGTTCTTCTCTGCAGGCTCCTCCTTTGTTCTCTTCAACAGAGTTGATGTTTTAGAGCAAGTGGCTCACAAGTCTCAACAGGTGAGCCACAAGCTAAACCCGGGCACAAGCTTGGGGAGAGAGTCGGAACCGGAATTGAATTCGATACATAAGCTCCCTTCTTTAGGTTTGCCCCTAAAGAAACATCTATCCAAACATGGTTCCATCTATTTTGAAACACACAATTTGCAGGATTTCCAGCAAGTCCCAAAAGACTTCCCCAAAACGAAAGCAGTCCCAAACACGGCCTCGCCCAACGAAGATTCGAGCATCGACCCCTTTGGGGGTCGATCTCCCCGTAGGAGCTGCGCCGGAGCTCCAGAAGATCCCCATGGCGTCGCCGGAGCCGACGGCTTCAGAAGGCGACGAGCAGGAAGGCGCGGGCGTCTTGTTCGATCCTCAAAATGTCTTCGCCAGGCTTCTTTTAGACTCGCGCCACATTTCAGTTTGAGGCTTTCGTGAGCGATTTTGGTGGTCCTCTAGTTTGCTTCACTTTCAACAACTGAACAATTGCATTTGTCGCTGTGTTGTTTTTGCTAGGTCCCCCAGCTAGGTGCCCTTTCTCACCGTTTCTTTTTTTGGGAGGGTTCCCCTAAAATAGACTACAGAAAAAAGGGCACCCTTATTCTAACCTCTCCACTGGAGGACCTAGTCACTTGACTTCGGGAACTCGGACTTTAGTCACTTTTGGAGTTTGTTTGCCATTTTGGTGGTATATAAAACAGTGTTACCTGTGTTTGACTAATCCACTCAGGAAGTGAGAATTGGTGAGTTTTTTGTTAGTTCCCTTTGCCACCAAAAAAGGGGCACCAAAGAAAATGACGAGCCACGCGTGAAAGGAGGAATCCGTGTGAGTTGAGCGTGTCGAGAGTCCTTTTCATTAGGTTGTGCAGGGTTGACCATTTGGCCCCTATGGCAAGCCCAGTGCTTCCAGACAAGCCATTATGGTAGGTGTAGTGGGAACTGGAAGCACTGGCAATGGTATTATAGTAGGTAACCAGGGAAAAAGCATGATGTAACACAGAAGTAAGCCGTATTTTGATGGCTCAACCTACGCTGGGTGTAGGTTGGGGGGTGCTACTTTGGCCTGACCAACCCTCAATGGGTCACGTGCCCCCATTTAGGAGTCCGATTGTTCCTACTTTGTTTTTTCCACCTTTCGGGAGAATCAGGGGTAGGGTCCCGAATTGGAGCCTGGTCATTTCGAGCACCAGTCGGCTAGATCAAGGGTTCAGTGGGAACCAAGGACGAGTAAGCTCCTTGAGCCATAGTGGGGTTTGAATTCACAGGCCATCAACTTGACTTCCGGCTCGCACCGTCTCCGAACCCTGCCCCGACAACTGGCTCTTCAGGCAGGTGCGATGGAAGACAAACCAACTTTCCCCAGTCACTCAAAAGTGCACTTCTAGATCCCCCAGCTAGGTGCCCTTTCTCACCGTTTCTTTTTTCGGGGAGGGGTCCCCTACTAGAATCGACTACAGAAAGTTGGTACCCTTATTCAAACCTCTCTACTGGAGGACCTAGACTTTGTGCACTGTGGTGAGCTGGCATGGATTGCTGGCACAAAGGGCAGCTCCTTGGCCACCCCCGAAGCGGGCATGTGGTTTGCCAGGCACGGAAAGTTTCACGCCGAGCACATCGACGCCAGAAGGAGGCTGGGTGACGTAGAAGACACGGTTGAAATCGCTTCCCTGGCAATATATTTTAGGGACCCTCCCTCCCGCCTGATACATTGTGGGGTGCATTTACACCAACATGGAAGCCAGAAAGCCTCTGATGGGTCACGCCCTCCAAAGTCCTGGGAGCTTCCATGTTGCGTTTTGTTCGGTCTCTCCCTTGAAACCAACCTCAAAAATGGCATCCGCACAACGCCACATACCAATATATGTGGCTGGTCAAAAATAGGGTAACCCCCAAAATGGCTTGCCCTGGCAAATGGACACATGGACGATCTAACCTGCGGTCCAATTCCTGGTTTCATTTTGACCCAATGCATCGAAATTCGGTGCTTGCCATCCCAGTGGGTTTTTGGAGAAGCGGAGTGGAGAAGAACTCAACCGACTAAGCGGACTCTACAATTGGGTGTGGCTCAAAAGTAAAGAGCTAGGGTGACGCAGGTGTTGGTCTTTGGTTCCATTTAGCAAGGTGCCATTTCGGTACATTTATTTGAGCCACAGACACATGGTTGTTGTTGGGAAACAAACATTTTTTACATGTTTGCTGATTGTTTTTTAATTTTGGTACATCTTTCTGAGCTTTAGCCAATTGACCCTGGAGATTTCATTGGGTCTTTTATATACGAACCCAATAGATCGAAGGCCCACGAACCCCCAGCGAATCTCTGGGTCCGCGGGACATGTTCAGCGCATCTCGCTCCATGGATCTGAGTTTCGTTCCGACCGCAAACTCTTGGTTTCCATGAAATAGTTTCCCGAAGCTTGGATTGACGAACTACCCTGAAGCCCATTACCCTCAAAATCGCGACCGATATGACAGGTTTCCCTAGAGCCATCAGCCCTTGAGGATTCGAGGTCACACGTGGCCCTCAGAAATGTGGGGCGGCTGGTCCGAAGCCACAAGGAGCTACGGTTCCTTTGGGCCTCGATGGCGTTCGACGTATCAGCGGGTCCCTCATGCAAAAAGAGGTGATGCTTCAGCCTCGAGACCTCAAGAAGGTTTGGTTCGCGACCGATTTCGCACCACATCTTCTTTTTTTTGACGTACTGAAGCTCCCCCAGTGCCCTTCTCCCCCCCTTTTTCGGGGGAGGGTTCCCGTACTAAAATGGACTACAGAAAAAAAGAAGTTGGTACCAACTTATTCTATCCTCTCTACTGGAGGACCTAGGAACAGATCGCCTGAGGCACCCTGGCTCCTGAGGTAACCATGTAGCAAGCACCTCCAAACCATTGCCTACCCCACACTCCGAATACCCACCGCACCACGTGATTAAACACATGCGCTGAAGCAAAACAAGGAGAAAGACTCTGAATACCCACCAGGCTATGAGGTCAATCCCTGACAGACACCACGTTCTTGAAAAAGCTGAAAAAACTGAAAAAAGCTGAAACAAGCTCAAAAAAACCGAGAAAAGCGGAACAAAGCCGGCAAAAAGCTGCAAAAGCTGTGCGGAGGCAACGACCTGGGGCCAACTGCCGGCGGATCGCCCGTGACGCCGGAATCGGAACTTCAGCCAAGGCAGCGCCGGGGTTGCATCCGTTTCGCGGGTGTTCCGCAGGAGATGAAATCGCAGCGCCTGTTGAGTGTCTTTTGTTAGGGGAGCCATCCAATATAATGAGTACTGAATATAATATATATATATATACACATACATATATGCATACATCCGTAGATGTGACGTTCCTTTTGGTGTTTTGTTTAAACCACCAAAACAAAGGTACAAGGGTGTTTGTCTGTTTGGTGTCCTTTTAAAACCACCAAACAAAAGGGTACCGTTAACAGAGACACAGCCTTAGTTTACCCCTTTGAACGTTTTATTGACAACCGAGGTCAGGGTTGCTCTGAAACCTTCAACAGGGATTCCCTTGTGCAGGTTGGCCAGTTATTGTGCAGTAGTGAGTGCAGAGGTGTTCGTTTCCGCTTGCCATATGCTTTCTATAAGCAAGGTCTTTTCAACCGGACTGTCCATGCGTTTCTTTGAGAAGAGGCCCTTTTAGCTTTTTTAGCGACCTCACCAGCGCTGTCTCGACCTTGCGCATGAATTTATTTTGGGGGAAGCCGTCGTGGTTGATGAATTATCGTTCATGTTGACGCAATATTAAGCAGCCCCAGTTTATGAATAGGGGGTGTCTCTGGGTTTAGTGGGGAGTCATCACTTTTGGAGGAGAACACCCCCCTATTAATAAACTTGGGCTGATAAATATGGGGCCAACACGTTTTACTCGCCTTGGGTGGTTGAAAAACAAGTTGGACCCTCTCCAAGGCTTGGGAAGTATGCAAAGAACCCTTGGTAAAATTAGTTAGTGTTAGAAAGAAACCTTGCTGAGCGCCGATGACACCTTGTTGCTAAGCTTGCTTGTGATTTGGGTCTGGTGGGAGCACCTTCCCCCCCGGAATTTCGGGTTAAAAGTCCTTTAAATAAGTTCATATCAGGAATTGTACATGTACACGAACATTGGCATTTGCACGGCGCGATAGCACGCGCACGCACACCGCCACACTCACACCCACACCCACACCTGCCCGCTGGCACGCCCGCGCAAATCGTGCACCCGCGCGCCTCCGCACCCACGCACTCGCACGCACGCGTGCACGCCACACGCATTGCGCTCACGCACGCCCGCGCACACTCCGCACGCGCCCACACGCGCGCACACGCGCCCTCATGAACCCGAACGCACACGAACATACTCACTTGCACGCCGCGCCAACATACACATACACATATACATTCACATACACATACACATACACATACACATAGACATACACATACACATACACATACACATACACATACACATACACATACACATACACATACACATACACATACACATACACATACACATACACATACACATACACAGACACAGACACAGACACAGACACAGACACAGACACAGACACAGACACAGACACAGACACAGACACAGACACACAGACACAGACACAGACACAGACACAGACACAGACACAGACACAGACACAGACACAGACACAGACACAGACACAGACAGACACACACACAGACACACACACACACAGACACACAGAGACACAGACACAGACACAGACACAGCCACAGACACAGACACAGACACAGACACAGACACATGCGCTCACACGGGCATGTCAACATCATTTCAATCACAAACGCACAACAAGTCGAGGGTTTTCTTAGCTTTCCACGATTCCCGAGGCCGGAGCAGAGCCCTTTGAAGGCAGCGTCGAAGCACCGGTGCGGCGCAGAGTTCATGACCGCGCCCTGCGACTTGGAGGATGGAAAGGTGCTTTCAGAGGGTGTGTAGCGACCAAATTGCGTTGCGGTCGAAGTGTCCCGCTTTGCTTATATCAAAAAAAAAGGTTGGGTTAAAGTGTGACATGGTATGGGAAAGTGCATTTGTTTGGTGTATTTGAGTTTTTTGTTGTTTGATCTTATTTGTTTTAAAGTGGCAGCAAAATAGCTTTAAGGAGGGGATCACTTAGCAAACCAATTGAATTTCTGTCTGTGCCATTCGAAGAGGGAAGCTGGCTGCGGGAATGGCAAGTGCTCATGTCGTGGAGCTTGCGGAAGCCACAATCTCGAGCAACCCGAGGCGACATGTTCAGTTTCATCGACCATGACATGAAGAAGTGGGGGGACAGGACAGGGGTCATTGGGTCTCTCAAATTCAGTGCACACTGCGACGTCTGGGAAAAATGATAAAATGAAGGGTTTCCTGTGCGCTTCGAGTCCTTTTCGGTCCCAGACCCCTTGGAGGTTTATAGAGCAAAGTTGGCCGATGCAACTTCTTCGCTTTAAAGGGGTTCATGTTGAGTGCTGGCTAGCCATTTGGCCCAACAGTCACCCGGTGCTTCCAGTGACCACTATAGGAGGGAACGAGGGGCAACCATCATGTAAATCTCGAGATTTCCTCGCCATTTCTGCGGCTCCTCCGCTCGAACCAGGAACCCATGCAGGCACAGCCTTGGTAAAGGCAACGCCACAGAACCGGTTGCCGAACTGGAAGCACTGGGTGAAACATGGTTGCCCACAAAAGGTCCGCTCCATGTTGAGAATTCGCAACGAGGCTTCAAGTTGCACGGCAAAGGGGAACCTTCATTTTCCTCATGTCCTTTAGGGTCAAACACACCACCCCCTCAAACACACCGACAAGAATTGCTTGTTTTTGTCTTTTTTAAGGGGGTGTGTTTGGACGGGGGGAGGGGTTGTCCCCTGCAGGGTGTAAAGCTTCCAAAGTGTAAGCATAGTCGAAAGCCGGAAAGTGTTTAAGCTTTTTCCAGCTGAGTTGACTGTGGCCCACCAATGACTTGACTGCTATTGGGTTGGATCTTTAGACTTTAACTTTTTGGGAAATAACGGCGTTTTCCACTGACCCCCCAAAAAGTTAAGCTTTTTGCAGGGGCGTGAACAGCAACCGAGAATGAAGAACTTTGGAGTTGGGAAGGCCCGACCCCTGCAGGAGCATCCACAACGGCCAGGTCAGGCTTGCAGACAAGCAGGAGAGGGTGGTGCGGCGAGCAAAACAAATGGGTCCGTCTCAACCTTGGGGATCCCCAAGTTTGGTTGCAAACATCGCATTTGCCGGGTCAAACTTTGGTATCTCATATCTTTGCTTTTCACAGAAGGATGGAAGAACCTATTTGGATCCTATCATTGAACATTGAACATCGACCAAGTTGCAATGGCACGATCAGGAGCCATTTGTTGCAGGGGGCTTGTTGAATCACACAAGCTGCCAAATAAGTGGTTGCAAAGCGCATGTTTTGGGTCGGGACAGGCGCCGACGAACCTCTGAAAGTACTTCTCTCCCACGGAAACGTTTCATGTAGCTTGGGCATTTGCACCCGGCTCAAACGGATTCGTTGGGTCTTGGTTCCCTTTTGGTGCCCTGCTTCCTTATAGCAGAGAGTTGACTGCCAAGACCCGAATATGTGAAATGACTGGCTGGTTGAGGGGCCGATGGCTAGCCTTCGCGCCAGCCAGCGGTGCTCTCATCTTGTTTTTTCGGTTCAGGGGAACCTAGGGTTCCTTGCCGATTCCCATGAAATAAATGGCAACTTGGGGCCCAATTTGGAGGATCACTTAAAGTAAACAATGGTGGTTATGTGAACCTAACCATTGTTTTAGTGGTGGTAACTGGGCCTATGCAACGTCCCACCAAGCGGCACATGCGCTCGGCCCTACACGAATTCCATCTTACGGTGGGGTGGGGATGAGCAATGCCAAACCCAGAATCCCAAGCGAAACATGTACAGCAACCCCTTCCGATTGGTGCGAGGGTGCCGATTGCAAGTGCTCTTTCCCCATGCTCACACAATCATTCTTCGACCTGATGGAAAGGTAGCAACTGCAGAGAGCACCTTAGGCAAAGGGAACCCTTGCCCACTGAAGACTTGAAAAACGGACTTTGGAACCTCGGGATCATGTCTCATCATGTTTATCAACATGTTGGGGAGCGGGGCCCCCAATAACACCCCCAACAAAAATAACAGGGCTCAACATTTGCTGTGTTGCCAAGGGGCATGGTAAGGGCTGGCCGGCAGCTTTAGCTCGGGGCCATCCCCACTAGACCCATTCGACTAGTGTGTGTGTGTGTGTGTGTGGGCCTGCCTGCCTGCCCACTCCAGGGACACAGAAAGGCCGTTTCACTTCCGTTTCACAAGAACCCAAACAAGAAAAACATGGCGTGTCGAGTTCCCCACGCTGACACAGCAGGACAAAAACCAAGCCCTGCTGGGCAGCTTCCATGGTCGCCTTTACCTGGTCTACAAGCAGAATGTGCGCAAGGAGAGGCCAAAGGCCACGGTTAAGGCCAAAAAGTGACCCTCCCTTCCATCAACATGATCAACATGATCAACATGATCAACTTGATCAACATGATCAACATGATCAACATGATCAACATGATCAACATGATCAACATGACACTGACAGGGGATCCTTCTCCAGCCGGGTGCCACGTTTGGGGCGGGGTTGATTTGCTTGGCCAAAGCGAATCGAAGAACTGTTGGGTTTCCCATGCCCGTATTGAGGTGAAAAGACACGCATTTATTCAGCCAGACATGTGCAGACACCACCCTTATTTGGCCGCCGGAGCGGCGACATGTTTAACCGGACAGCAAAATCGAAAGGGGGAATCAGTCCCTTTGGGTCCCAGGCTCCTTCGATTTCCCGTTCGCCTCGTCTGCTTCAGCGCCTTTGTGCAACCCTAGTCCTCGATTGCCCGTCAAGCGAACCACTACGCATCCGAGACTTATACCTTCCATATGCCAGGGTGTGCTGGCAGGGTGGTCCTTAGAGTACCACAGTTCGTTGGACGCCACCGTTTCGGGGTGCCCGCCTGCCAGGCCGAAATGGGTTCCTCTGTGAGGTATGCGAAACTCAACTTGGAACCGCTTCAAGGCTGAAAAAGCGGAAAGTCATGGCTTTTTAGATGGAACCGTCAAGCCAGTACCATGAAGAGAACATTTGGCAAACTCAACCACATGGCCACTATGTCATGGCTTGCATACTCCAGTTTGCAGTTCACCATTTCTTCAAGATGATTCTACCCCAAAGCGAAAATGGCAACTACCACTTTGTAGAAACCCTGTTCAATGTTACATACCCTGTCTCGCATCTTGCCACGGCCTGAAGATTACCCTGAACCAGTGCCCACTAGGCCACATGAGACACCTGACCGTTTCGTGGCCTCGAAGGTCAAGCTTTCAGCGTGCTTTGAAGTTTTACCATGGCTTTCAGATACGTCGAGGCGAACTTGATGCGTGTGATCAATTTGTCGCTAGATTCAAGGTTGCATAGCTCAAGTTGCATTTGACAACCCATTCAATTAAGATGGCTCTACGCTTTGGTGCTTTTCAACATCATCCTTCGGACATGGCGAATTCCTTTTGGAGGTTTTCTTCATGGTGATCTTTACAGGTTGGAGACAAAAGAGAACCCCAATCTACCCCAAGCACTGCCTTCATCTTGAGCCCGGGGTCCAAGGTGAACATTTTGGCAAGGCCTTGGTCAAAACGCATGGTCTTGCGTTTTGCAGCCTTTGTGGAGAGAGGATCTCGAGTTGTAGGTTGCGAGCCTCAAGATGATCGAACAAGCTTGTGGTAGTTTGGTTTCGTCATCAAACGTCTAGATTATCCATCAACTGTGGTCAGGTTTCCTTTTCGTTTGGTGGTGCTTTGGTTTGGTTTGGTCTGGTTTGGTGGTTTGGTGTCCCGTCCGAGCAGCAGCCAATCGGATTTGAGAATTCGATCCGAACTCAGATGGCTGGCGCATGGCTCGCCCGCGCGAGGATCTGGAGTTCGGGGCCTTTTGGAAGACCCTGCAGCTGCTGAGCGCCGTTGCGGAGGCGCGGGAAGCGAAAGCCGGCCGAGTAGCATCGGCTTTTTTTGCGTTGGCCTTTTGGCTTGGGAGGTCGCCATGTTGCCAGAACTAGTTCTAAATAACACGGAAACGGAGCTATGTCTAAATTCTTCCTAATTTGCGGGGAGCTATTCCTAAGTCTAGGGTATGTGGGGAAATGTGGGGAACCTCAAAAATTACTACGGTTCAACCGGCTCTCGAGACCCCAATGAAGCGCCTGCGGAAGAGAGGGAAGTAGCACTCAGTTGATCAAGACGGTTTGGAAGGACACCCGCCTTTGGAAGCTTCTTGAAGAATCCATCCGTTTTTGGTGGCTCCGAGCTTTGCCGGTTTGGTCTTGGGTTGCTTCCTCCTGGCCACAGCTTGGGGCTTAAGTTTGGGTCAGTCCAATGGCATCAAGTTGCTGGGGGGGGGGGGGGGTTGAGGACAAAAACCGAGCTCTGGGGGGTAAAACAAACTCTCACCCTGGGGTTCTCTGCGGACTCCCATGAAAAGAATGGCAACTTGGGCCCAACTTGGAGGATCCTTGGAAGCCCCGGGCTCAGCCGGACTCGGCCCATGGCGAGCCCTCGAGGGTGTGTCACCGGATTTTTTTTTTGGCCGGGGAAAGAGCTCCCCTTCAAAACCATCCAAAACATAGCCCAGCGCCTCCACTTACCACGATGGTAGGGTGTTTTTTTCGCGGGGGACATGATCATGTAAAACCTGGAAAGGATCCCTGATTGCCTGCCATAGTGGTAACTGGAAGCACTGGGAAGGTGTTGAGGTGTCTTTCAACCATGAGTTTTCATAAGGGTTCTGCAACCATTTTTGCGACGACATTCTTGTTGAACAGGGAATGCTCTGAACGAGGCGATCGATGGAAGCGTAGAAGGCAACTTGTGAACATTCTCCTTTGCGACCCTTGGGACCAGTTTTGCAGAGTTTCTCTTTGTTGGGGAGATGTTGTCTGGACAAAGTAGAAGGGAAACCAGCCGCAAGGCAATTTTGTGAGACCCCAAAATTGTCAGACCATAAGGTTACCCTGCAGTTCAACCCACCATTAAAAAACAAGCACAATGGAGAATCATACAACCGCCATTGTTTTTAGCTAAGGGTGGTCATCCAAACTGGGCCAACCATTTTCACGGGAGTCGAACGCTAGGGCTTTGAGTTGGGTCACCACGTGGCGAGGTTCACTTCACCGGGCCGGACGGAAAGAAAAAAAACGCAAACGTCCACGGTGAGGGGGGTCGTGGACCCATGCCGCGTGGCTGTGAGTCAACGCCATTGGGATCCCATTTTGGGGTAGGTGAATTCACCACCCCGTTTTAGAGCCTATTTTAGTGGTCGGATTGAATCGGATGTTCACTGGATTTTGGGTAACCGGGATTTTGACCCATGGCCATATTTTGGGCTACCCCAAGGTAGAATTCAACGCAGGGGGTTCCCTTTTGGGGACATGCGAGTGTGTCCATTTTTAGATTTGGACCCATGCCCGCGTGAGTCCCACCCTTTGGACACGGAGTTCTTGGTCCACAGCTCCGACGTGCCGGTGGAGCCACGCGCCGCGCACCGCTGCGATCAGGCGGAAGGGCCCCGGTCCCTGTCCGGAAAAAAAAATGGTGCCCTATGTTTGCTTTGGTGGATTTTGCTTGGATGTTAGGACTTTATCTTTTTGCCCGTTAATGGGTGTTCCATTCAAGCACTAAAAGTTAAACTTTTAGCAGGGGAGCAGAAAGCAACCAAGTTGTCCCTTCTTATTTTTGGGGAAGGGAATAGCCCAGAGTGAAAGCATGTGCCAAGGAAGGGGGCCCCTTCTGCTTTTGTGCCATGGCTGGAGATCTGGGAACACCGGTTGGGGTTAAGATGTTTTCCGCTTCCTTACATTTCGCCAGTCTGCAGAGTTGGAACCCTCTCACACATGCTCTGTCGGCTTTTAATGTCCAGGTCTTTCCGCTGTCGAAAACAACGCGTCCATAGGGAAAGTTCATACCCAATGTGTGAAAGACTTGTTCAGGGTTTCCGAGTTTGTCAGGGTTTGGCGTCAACACGGGGGTCACCTGTTGCCATGCGGCCAACGCAAATGTCCTTTGGGAAAGTGAGGGTTGTGTGCATGATGGATTCAACCAGTTGCCACTTGAGGACACCTACATTAATGAGTTTATACTCCAAATGTTTGTTGAACTGACTTTAATCTCCAGTTTCTACTCCAATCAGATCTGTGGGCCCTGTTTTCCCTTCGTATGTTTTTGGGGAAGGAAAAACCCCTTTAAAACCATGTACCAAGGAAGGGGTCAATGCTGAGCCCCGAATTGCATGGATTTGCTCCTGTCCGGAGTCGGGATCAGAATGTCCCGTGGTTTCGTGCCAGAGTCAGAGGCCCCGGTGGGGCGACCCCAAAATATTTGCCAGACTTCGCGTGTCAAACAATAAAAGAAAGAACTCGGGTAATCTTTAGTTGGTTTGGATTTGAACTTGAACCTCTTCTTGTAGGTAAACAACCGCACCAGCAAACCACCACCACCGAGCTCCAAACCAGCCTTCTCGAGGGAAGCTGAAGAACAGCGACGGTGCCGGGAGGTAGAAGGCCCCGTTCAACCCTGTCCAGGACTTCACGCACTCACATCTTTTGCTCGTTCAGCGGTTGGGCCTCTTTTGTCCCTTGCTTGAGGGTGTGTGCTTGAACCTCCGTCTTCCCAACCAACCAACCAACCAACCAACCAAGCAAGCAAGCAACCAACCAAACAACAAAGCAACCAACGAACCAACCAATCACAAAGCAAGCTTGTCCATTTGACAGAACCACACTTGCCATGTTTTGTTTCGTTGGGTTCCCCGAACCACAGGACCCAGCTGTTTTGGCACACGTGTTTATTTGTTTTTTGTTTTTCCAAGCGTTTGGCACCATCTTACATTTTCACCCCTCACGAAAGTGGATGGCAGAAAAGCTTCAAGCTCTGGGTTTGGGGTTGAAGCTTCACCCAGTGGGTTCAGCCCAGACATTTTCTTACCGGTGCTCGGCAGGGAATGAGGGCATGACCCCTATCAACCATCCCACTGGTGGTTTCCTTTAAGGGGACCTATTCCTGGGTTCATTCCATTTCTCCTTCCCTGCGTTCCGTTCGCACCGATCGCAAGCAAGTCGGGAGTCCTTTCAGGCCCATTTTTGCCCAACCATCCCACTGGTGGGTTCCTAGGGGACCAATTCCTGGGGTCATTCCCTTATCGCACCAGCAGGGGAGTCCGCTCCGTTTAGGCGGAGCGCTGTGTCTTCTCCACCAGCAGCGGGCCCCGCTTCTGCGACCTCTCGCTGCCTCCCGGGGTGCGGCCCTTCCTGACCGACGAAGGCGAGTTCCCTGGGCCAAATTTGGAGCCCGGCGCTTCGCATTCGCCCGGCGCTGCGCGTGATTTTTACCTCTTAAAAACACAACTGTTCAACTTTTTGGGTAACATGGGCTATATGTCTGTAAAAGGACAACTTCCCCAATCCTTGGAGTTTTAAGGGGTAAGGATTGTTTTTTGCGGTCCAGCTGTTGTTTGGCGACCCCGGGGAAGCCAAGAGGAGCGCAACAGCCTGCGCGTGGGGGGAATGGCCTGTGCTACTTGTGCCTTGGCTTTTGTGCGGTCCGTTGTTTGCCTTTGGTGGGGACCCCTGTTGTGTTGCGGTTCATTGAGGAAGCCAAGCTTGGAGCGTTGCTATTTTGGGTTTGTCGCCACATTTCGAGGTGGTTCGGCCCGAAGGGGAAAACAAAAGGAAAGCCTAAGCCATCCCCTTGGTCTTTTCTGCATCACTGGGAGCCCCTCACGTATCTGTGCATGTTTGAAACTTCACCAGGGGCTTCAACCCTTGCAAAAGGGTACAATAAGGGCACCCTGAAGTTTTCTACGTGGGGGGTCCCAATCTTCGATAGTAATTTGGCCCAGAATCTAGTGTGCGCATGGCATACTTGGGTGTTCGGCCAAGTTAGTAAGTTGAGTGAGTTGTTGGTACCTAGGTCATAACCCACTTCTAAGTCCCCCTGAGTGCGATTCACCTTGTTAGGGGTGACAAACCCTGGCGATCACCACGTACGAACTCGGCGAATCGAACATCGAAGCGCCCGCTGCGGATCCGCGGATGTACCGGGCAGGCGGAGACGTGGCCTACGCCGAAAAGCGGAACCTGGGCTTCTGGCGGGGCTCCATTTGGCCGGCGCGGCGCTGTACAAACGACTGGCGGCCTCTGGGCTGCGGTTACAACACCAATGGGAGCCCAACACAGAGGCAACAGTCTTCACGGGTCTTCGTGGATTTCTTGGTTTTGACACCTTCTAGTCTTCATGGTATATTAAACATCGCGCGGCTGGCTTTTGCGGCGGGTTGGATCTTTGGACTTCATCTTTTTAGGGAGTCCTCATATTTCCTTTCAGCCTTATCATGTGCACATGTTTTGCTGAAGGTGTTCACTTGCCGGACCGAAAAACACAAAACTTCCACCAGCGGTCGCCTGTTGCACCGAGCTCCGCTGAGGCGGAGCCCGCGAGTCCTGATGTGCCAAGAGAGTCTGAAGCACCCGGAGGTGCTCAACGCCTCGCTAGGCGAATCGCCGGAGCGCTCCGGCGATTCGGGGGGGCAACGGTGAACCTAACCCCAGAACAAAGTCAACCCCAGATGAATATGAGTCTCTGGGCTTAGTGGGGAATCAGCACTTTTGGAGGGGAACACCCCCCTACTAACAAACTCTGGTTGATTCACGGTACTGGAACCGAGGCCTAGGGTTCCTTGGCGGTTCAACCAGCCGTCCCTTTGGTTCCAGCAAGCTGAGATCTTTTTGGTTTAGCTGTGGGGTTTCCGAATTTGACCCACAAGTTAGTCACTTCCAGGGGAATCCAGCACGGCAGAATGGCCGAAGAAGTTCCCCTAAGTTTTTGCTTTGTAGGGTGTCCCTAGGGTTCCCGAGCCATGTCCTTTTTAGGAACCTCCAAAAGTGGCGATCGTTTCAATAGAAACAGACACCACAGGCAAATTGATCAACTGTTTAAAGGGGAATGCAGTGTCTCTAGGTTTCAACCGATTCCCATTAAAAGAACGGCAACTTGGGACCCGAATTTGGATGAACCACTTAAACAATGGTGGTCTTATGAACCCAACCTTTGTTTCAACGGCGGTAACTGATAGCTGAATCCCAGATGTTGACTCCTTTGGTTGCCACCGGCTTTTGAGAGGAACAGTTCAACCCCGCGAGTTCGATCGACCGAGCGATCAAGCTTCCGGAGCTGATTTGCAACTGAGTCTCGATCTCCTTAAGGCTCCCAGTGGTTTGCCCAAATTGTAAAAAGACGATGATTTTTGTTTGGACCAAGCGCGGCTTGTGTGTTGCAACCACTAAAACCCGATGATTGGAGCTGCAAGTCGTCCCCTTCTTGCCAGATGGATTGCATGGCTGCTCTTCTGGTAGCCATTTCGTACCTAGATTTGGGGGGGGGGGGGGGGGGCGGGAGTCCGTCCTTCACCTGCCAAATGGGTGGGTTTGTTTGTTAGGAGACCCAAACAAATCAAAATATTGTGTGCTTTGTGCCTACACCCTCTAAAATTGCTGGCTTTCCTTTTGATGTCCCTTCAATGGCAAACAACACACCCGAGTAATAATTCAACTCAAAACAAGACATCCCCAAAACAGCCGCCTCAAAACAAAGACCTCCCTTGAACTGTTGGTACCAATCCAAAAACATGGGACCCTCCCTCCCCCCCTCGTTTTTTGATTTGTTTTTTTTGTGCGCCCCCCCCCAGCGCAACACACACCAAAAAGAAAAAACACGAGACTCGTTTCCCGCAGCAAGCGCACCACCCGCAGGGGGCTTGGACTGCGGGCGCAAGGAGCCCCCGGAGCTGTGCAAGCTGATCCAAAGCTGGCGGCCCCATCGCGTGCCCTTCGACGAGCAGCGCCCCGGAGCTCCGAAAGCGTCCGGTTTTTTGGAGCCCAGCGAAAGCAAGCCCACTCCCAGCGAAAGCGAATCCGAGCGAATCCGAAAACCAGCCCTAAACCAGGCTACCAACCCTAAGCCAGCCTGAAACCAACCCGAAACCCACTCCAAAATCCGGTCCAAAGCCAACCAACCAACTCTAAGCAAAGCCTTAGACCCTAAACTGACACCAACGCTAAGCCAACTCTGAACCAAGCGTAAATGACCCCCTACACCCACTCTGGGGGGGGGGGGGGGGGAGGCGTTTGTTCATCTCCCCGGGCTGATTCTTTGGGTTTAATCTCAGATGTTCCAATTTTCCAACCCCCCGAAAGGTGGACACTTAGAGTCGTTTTTGCAGGCTCCAACCCTAAACAACCAACACCCTGGGGAAGGAGATGGCAACATAGACCCTAAGTGTCCAGCATCGCTACTTGGTCCTTGGGCGAAGTTTGCTGAAATACTCGACAGCGCTGGTGAACGAAGAGGTTGTTTGAATGGTTGAAGGTCGGCAGAAGAAAGCCAAGGGATGTCTAAGACCATGGACAAGGGTGTGATTCTTTGAGGGACAACTTTTGGGGGGTCCGTTTTTACTTCTGTTTAGAAAGGGAAGTGGAACCACCCTCTTGCTGCCTCCAATTTTGAGCCAAAGACATGGAAGGCACCTGGGTTTCCGGCCTCCGGGGCTCGTGGGAGCCCATGGGTGACAATTGTTGGGGCAAGCACAAGTCTGTTTTTTTGTTTTTCTGACCAAACTCAGGAAGATGTGAGTGTGGTGTTATACCTCCTTTTGGGTTGGAGGTGAAATCCCGCTTGATAGAGGTGTCTGCCATTTGAGGTCATGTAGGTGTGTGATGTTCGATGCGATTTTTTCTGGGTTGGTTTTGAAAGGAGACGACCTTAATTCGAGATGATTCGAGACAAATCCGGCGCCGACATCCAAACTATTTCAAGGTGTTCGACATCCCAGAAGTACAATGGTCATAACGCTGCAAGCTTGGGCTTGAGCCCGCAATAAGGAACTTGGCATGACGCCAAACTGCTCTTCAATACCAATGCTGGATCATTGTTCGAGGAGTGTTTTTGAGGGACGCCGAAAGGCAAAAGGATCCGTCATGAGGAGACCAACGCACATTCGTTTCTCTTCTTCTTTACTTTCCTCAATATTCCTGGTTTGTAAATACATATATATATAATATATAATATAATATATACATGTACATGGACATGGACGTCCTGCTCATCCAAGAAGGTAGGGGCCCTTTTCGGACCTGTTCTCTTTTGGACGCAGCTCCTCAGCGTCACGCACTCAGCCCGACTCGAGCCGAGACTCGAGGCTGAAGTATCGCTTTCTGCTCACCTCCACGCCCGCGTGCACCTACACGGGCCGCGTGAGCCGGTTCCTGAACTCCAACTCGGTGGTGGCGATGTTCTCCAACGGAAAGGAGCTCTCGCTCTCTCTCCGGAGTTGTCTGAAGACCAACAAAGGTTTTACCAGGCAGCAAGCGTTCCTATTGAGGAGAAGGTAAGGGTGTTGCTTGGTTTCCCGTTAAAAGCACCATTGCCCCTTTTGTTTGTGAGAGGGAAACCCTAGCATCTGTTTTTGCCCATCTAAATCCTTTGGGACACGTGGCAATTTTTGGACATGCGTCAAGTTGGGGGGGGAAGCAGAAGAGGGATTTGAAGCCTCACTCCACCACCAACCTGAAGACGGTGCACTCTTCACTTGGTGGCTCCCAGCCATCCGGTTCCTTAGCTTCTTAGATCCTTTTAGTTTTTAGTGGTAGTTTCCGAATTTAACCCACTAAGAGTTCTCAACTTTTCGTTAGTTTCCATTTAACCCACGAAAAGTTCGTCACTTTCCGGGGGATCTCAAAACGGGCAGCCCAGCCGCTATTTTTTTTGGTGACCCAGACCTCGCCCAGGGAACGTCCCTCAGCCTCAGGAGGCGGTGGGCCAAGTGCTGCACGCTGCCTTTGAGGAAGACGTGCACTTCAAGCGCCCCAAACCGGGGAGGAGATGGGGGGAGGGAAATGCCTACACATGGGTGTGGCTCAAAATTAAAGAGCTAGGGTTATGCGTTTAGTCTTTGGTTCCATCTACCAAGGTGCCATTTTGGTACATTTATTTTGAGCCACAGACACATGGTTGTTGTTGGGAAACAAACATTTTTTGCATTTTTGCTGATTGTGGTTGAGTGGTTATCCAACCACTGAACTGCTGAAATTTGATTTGTTGCTCCCCTTCCAGCGTCAACCAAGTACATTGGCTACGGGGATGCGGGCAGTGTCCAACGGAAGTGGACAGGGGAGAACCCCAAAAAGGAAAGTAGTCTTCCAACACCCTGTCAGCTGCCATGATTGTTGGAGGGGTACTTCGCTTTGTTTCCAGGGAAACCTCCGCTTTACCCGGGTAGAATGATTCAGGTTAAACCGCAGAGTCCCTTACCTCACAGGAGTTGGAGCCTCCCCATGGAAATCGCCCACGCGCAAAACGACATCTTGTGGCATGACTTTGCAAGCCATGGCAACCCAATGTGGTCGTTGGGGGATTACGAGGTTCAGCAGCGGTCAAAGGCAAACCCATAGGTTGCCTTCCACGTGCTCAGAACAGTCTTGTGGTTTGGGGATTATGTACATATATATATATATATACATACATATATATATATATATATATATATATATACATATGTATATATATATATGTATACGTGAAGTTTGGCCAAATTGCATTCTAAGTTCAACTTGAGAGACAAGAAACGTAGCCCTAATTTTCCATGTCTGCAGAGCTACATGTTTTTAACTGTGGCTCATGTGCATTCAACTTGTATGACCACTTAGTGGAACCACAAGTCGGCAGAAGTTGCGGGTGTTCAACTCACGCTTTTGCTCAGGTCACCTTCGCCAGAGCGCTCGTGACAAGTTCGCCTGTTGACCTTTCCGCCCTGCGGGTTTAGAGAAGAACCCCTCGGGAATGAGGGCCTCTACATTGTTTCATCACTACGTAGGGTTACTGCAGAAACATTCGCAAAAATGCCATCCTTCCGGGGTTGGATCAATTGACTTGTCACCATTGCAGCCTACTCTTGTAGCTTGAAGTCGTTCCAACAGAGGGGGGGGTTGGTCCGTGGGTTTGTTGGGTTTCTTGGTTGTTGAACATCCAAACGAGCTGGAAAGGTCCAACACGGGCGGGGTCCGTGCGTGGGTTTGTCGAATTTCCACACGTCGAAACGCCAAGCACGGCGCCTTGGTTTGAACTCGCGCTCTCCGCTCCCGAGCGCTCGCGCGCGAGCAGAGGTACGTGCACGCCGGCAGCTTCGTGGAGGAGCGCCGAGAGTTTCTGATCCGGGACCTCAGGTGGTTTCAGTTCCCCACTTTGGGCAATGGACGAGGTCCCCCAGTAGTGCCTTTTTGACGTTTCTTTTTGGGGGAGGGTTCCCCTACTAAAATAGACTACAGAAAAAAGGGAACCCTTATTCTAAGCTCTCGACTGCAGGACCTACATGGATATAACTCCCACAAAAGCCATGGTGACAACTGTCTCGCTTCAGTGGGCTAGAACCATGGCTACTAGCCATTTACTAAGTACCCTGCCCCGTTAAGTAGGGTTCCTTGCCGATTCCCATGAAAAGAATGGCAACTTGGGACCAAATTTGGATGACAATACTTAAACAAATGTGGCTAGGTGGCTATATGAACCCCCAAAGAAATGTTAACGTAAATATTGTTTCGGTTTATGATAACAGTTTATGTTCATGTTGAACCCATATTAATCAACGCGCCAGTTTATTAATAGGGTGTGTGTTCCTGGGTTTAGTGGAAAATCATCACTTCTCGAAGGGAACCCCCCTATGAATAAACTGGAGTTGATTAATATGGGAGGAGTTGAACTAGTTCGAAGTCCCTGTTTTCCAACTGTCCACCGGAGCTTCAGTGCATACGTGTTGGCCAGATTGAAATCACATTCGCTGATTTGGAAGATCCCTGGCGAATCAGATGTACCTGTTTGGAGCCCTGTTCGCATGTTATCATGTGGCCATGGGTCAAAAGCCCGTACCCCCAGTGAACTTCCCAATCCCCACTAAAATAGGTTCCAAAATATTGGTTTTGACCCACAGCCATGTGTTGCTTTCTCTGTGCATCCTTTGAATCTCCGGAGCGCAACGGCCGAAAGGAAAACCCCGCTAGTAGCTGTCCAGGGATAGGGGGTTAAACCGAGCGCAAAGAAGGCGAAGAGCGAAGCGAAGTGAAGCGACCAGAGCTTGGTGATCACACCATGGATAAAAGTTCCTTGATGTGATAGTTTTTCCCCAACAGCTGGAACCGACATGGGGTCGTTGCCCAGATAGGTTGTGGGGTGGTGCGGGGCACCTTCATGGTAGGGTTCCGCGGATATCGCCTGTTTTTGTTTGTTTCCGGTTGGTGAATTCCCCTCCCACCAAGCATGGAACTGCGTCTCCTTAGTCTTTTGGTTTCCAAGGTCCCGACCGTGTTGCTTTCCCTCTTGCAATGTCACGAAAGGTAGCCTCAAGGAGGCTAGCTTGAGTTTGTCCTTCTCCCTCCTTCGACTCCCCCCTGGTCCGCCCTCTGCCTCCTGCCTGATTGACAGCGTCGCTCCTTCTTCGCTTCGGTCCGCTTTTCGCACCGTGTTGCTCTTGTGTTTCAAGGCCGGTCCTCCTAGTCAAGTCGTGGTGAGTTGAAGTTGATATAGGACACTCAGTGCACGTCTGCTTCATAGTGGGCTATGCCCAATTATACCGTGCTGGCGGCACCTCAGTTTTAGCACCGGCACCTCCAGACTTTGTCTCGGGGGCGTTCCATTGTTTAGGGGAATCACTATACAATGTCCTAGGTTTCGTGTCTCCCCTTCTCAAGTTTGAGCATTGCATCTTTGAGCAGAGCCCAAAAGGTGATCGCCTTTGTCCAGGTCCTCATGGGAAATGGCTGTGGTGATCAAAAATAGTTGGTAACCCCAAAATGGGTTGCCCTGGTAAATGGAAACAATGACCAAAACCTGTGGTTTCCCTGGTGGTTTAATTTTGACCCATACCCAAATCAGCTACTTCACTCAGCGTGTTCAAAAGAGCCATGGACGTGAAAACAGCGAGCGGGGGAGGCCTCAAGACTTCCTGAGCTCGCAAGCTCTTGACAAACTTTTTGGGGCGGATAGGGTGCTGGGTTTTAAGGGTTGCCGGGGGGGGGGGGGGCCTTCCCTCGCCAAATGCGCCTCTTCTCTCACGCAGGAGGTGCGACAGATGCAGCGTGACTGGGAGAAGTTGGAGGAGCTGAGCGTGAACGCCCGGCGGACACTCGGCACCCCTTTCTTGGTGCATGCTGGGTTCCCCTCCAGAAACTGAGGAATTCGTTAAAAAAGAGAGAGATGTTTTTGATGTTTGATTTGTTTGTTTTTTGCTTGTGTGTGTTTTTGGGGCTGTCTTTGGTTTCTTTCAAGGGGAAAAGAACTGCAACTGGTCCTTTTTGAGCTGCTTGCTGAATCGTTTCTCAGGAAATGGTCATGGGCCACGCACCACGAGACGGTCACCTGCGCCTGTGACCGATGGCTTGGATTCCCCTAGGGTATTTCACTGGCAGAAAACGGGAATGCCCCGGCCAAAAATGTGTGTTTCTAGGGGACACCAATTTATGCAGACAGGCCATTCCTTCCGGAGCCTTTAAAAAAGACGACCGTATTACCGCATGGGAAAAATCCCGGGAGCATGGTTTCCTCTCAGGTGTAGAATTCTAGGGGGCACGTCCAGGTCCATTCTGAACCCAGGGATCCGAATCTTTTCAGAACACCCGGCAACATCTCCAGGGGAAGCAGCGATCGGTTTTTGAGAAGAGCGATCGGTTGAAAAGAAGGGGGGACTCACCCCCCCCCCAAAAAAAAAGTAGCCTGAAAAAAGAAGACGCGCCCGCAAGGAGGCAGGAATTTGCGGATCCCCGAAAGTTGAGAGAGAGAACTCCTCTCAGTTGGGACAGGGAGAACCTTCCATTTGCTATTCGAACTGAGAAAAAAACACCTTTTTAAAGGGTCCCGTTTGTCATTCTAATATGAGAAAGATCCTTCTGGGTCGCAGCGTGGCTTTTCTCGACACCGAAGCAAGCCTTTTCGAGGTCTTCTCCAGGACTTCGGAGCAACCGGCGCACAGAAGTAGAAAAATTGGTTGCTCTGGGCCCATCGATTCGCCCATCTGCCTAAAGTGCCCCTCCCTCCCCCCCACTTTGGAGTTCGCCAGCGGTTGCGTTGCAAAAAAAACACGAATTGTTGCATCTTCTGAAGCCTTGGAGAAAAAAAGACAAGCCAGTGTCCAGAGGAAATACTTTGGATTTGCTTCCGTGTGCGATCCCCTGAAAGAGGGTTTCAGACATGTAAAGGGCCGGTTTGGGTTTTGTGTCGCCTGCTGGGTGATGTTTACAGGGGGAGTACGATGAACCCTAAGATACTCCAAATTTGAGTAAACTTTGTTCACTAGCTCTTTTATCTCGATGATGCGTGTCTGGCGGCTTTCACTTTTACCATCCCTGGTGCTTTTGGGCGCATCTTCGATTCGTTTAAACGTTTCAGCAGACCTTATTGAAACTTTCAAACCAACAGGGGTCCAACTCAATGTTCTCGTTGTGTGCTGGTTTCAGCAGCTGCTTTTGGGGCCCGTCGTTTTTTGTGGGGTCAGGGGGCGGGGGGCTGTTGGGGGTTGGGGGGGGGGGGGGCTCGAGCCTCCTTTTCCTCATCCACCAGAAGAGGTGGCGCCTTAAGGCCCCCCCCCCCCCCCAAACACCGAAGCACGAAGTTAATAGGAGACCTCTGGCTTTTGTGAGGGTTGATGGGAAATCCCTCGTTCACCTCCAAACCACCTTTTTCGAGAGAAGCTGACAACCACGGCTTCCACGCTCACCCCAAACCGTGACGAGGCTACATGTACGAGCTCCTGACGCGTTACACCCGGAAGCTGGCCTATGTGCCCTCCACCCATGGCACCATCCAGGCGATCCGGGGTCACTCGTAGGCCATGGGATGTGATGTGTCGTGTTTTGTTTGGACAACCCCTGTTTTGCTTGCTTTCCAATAAGGACAGCATTTTTTTTTTGGGGGGGGGGCCCTCATTTAGAAGCAAACCCAGCTGGTGCGAAGAAGAACGAGTTCAGCGCTTTTGGGGAAAAGCGAGCTCACCCAGGAAGGTTCATTGAGGATTCCTTATTGCAGATCGGATTGTCAAAATTTGCCTAGATACTTAGATGGTCCAGGAGGAATTGCTAAGTGGTTGCCGTAAGCTCACTGCATGAAAACCTCACACCCGTGAAAACCCTTGAAAGTAGGGTTACTAACCATTTTGGGATCACCCGGGAGACCATCTAAGCAGTGGAGACGCGGCGGAATCGTTGGTTGGCTCGACTGTTGAAGCAAGCCGCGAAAATCAACAAAAGGAGCTCCCCAACAGCGGAAATTGCAAAGCGAGGGGTTTCCTCCGCCTTGTTTGCAGCGCACTAAGAATGAGCAGAAGCAAACGCCCAAAGGCAGATATTCCCCCTGCATCAACCAACCAGAGAGGCGTCAGCCAGGCTGAGGAAGGATCGGCTTGCTAAAAGCTCG